GACTACCATATCTACTGCTGAGTTTCCTACATCCACCATGTATCAATGACTACCATATCTACTGCTGAGTTTCATACATCCACCATGTATCAATGACTACCATATCTACTGCTGAGTTTCATACATCCACCATGTATCAATGACTACCATATCTACTGCTGAGTTTCATACATCCACCATGTATCAATGACTACCATATCTACTGCTGAGTTTCATACATCCACCATGTATCAATGACTACCATATCTACTGCTGAGTTTCATACAGCCACCATGTATCAATGACTACCATATCTACTGCTGAGTTACATACATCCACCATGTATCAATGACTACCATATCTACTGCTGAGTTTCATACATCCACCATGTATCAATGACTACCATATCTACTGCTGAGTTTCATACATCCACCATGTATCAATGACTACCATATCTACTGCTGAGTTTCATACATCCACCATGTATCAATGACTACCATATCTACTGCTGAGTTTCATACAGCCACCATGTATCAATGACTACCATATCTACTGCTGAGTTTCATACATCCACCATGTATCAATGACTGCCATATCTACTGCTGAGTTTCATACAGCCACCATGTATCAATGACTACCATATCTACTGCTGAGTTTCATACATCCACCATGTATCAATGACTACCATATCTACTGCTGAGTTTCATACATCCACCATGTATCAATGACTACCATATCTACTGCTGAGTTTCCTACATCCACCATGTATCAATGACTACCATATCTACTGCTGAGTTTCATACAGCCACCATGTATCAATGACTACCATATCTACTGCTGAGTTTCATACATCCACCATGTATCAATGACTACCATATCTACTGCTGAGTTTCATACAGCCACCATGTATCAATGACTACCATATCTACTGCTGAGTTTCATACATCCACCATGTATCAATGACTACCATATCTACTGCTGAGTTTCATACATCCACCATGTATCAATGACTACCATATCTACTGCTGAGTTTCATACATCCACCATGTATCAATGACTACCATATCTACTGCTGAGTTTCATACATCCACCATGTATCAATGACTACCATATCTACTGCTGAGTTTCATACAGCCACCATGTATCAATGACTACCATATCTACTGCTGAGTTTCATACAGTCACCATGTATCAATGACTGCCATATCTACTGTTGAGTTTCATACATCCACCATGTATCAATGACTACCATATCTACTGCTGAGTTTCATACAGCCACCATGTATCAATGACTACCATATCTACTGTTGAGTTTTATACAGCCACCATGTATCAATGACTACCATATCTACTGTTGAGTTTCATACATCCACCATGTATCAATGACTACCATATCTACTGCTGAGTTTCATACATCCACCATGTATCAATGACTACCATATCTACTGCTGAGTTTCATACAGTCACCATGTATCAATGACTGCCATATCTACTGTTGAGTTTCATACATCCACCATGTATCAATGACTACCATATCTACTGCTGAGTTTCATACAGCCACCATGTATCAATGACTACCATATCTACTGTTGAGTTTTATACAGCCACCATGTATCAATGACTACCATATCTACTGTTGAGTTTCATACATCCACCATGTATCAATGACTACCATATCTACTGCTGAGTTTCATACATCCACTATGTATCAATGACTACCATATCTACTGCTGAGTTTCATACATCCACCATGTATCAATGACTACCATATCTACTGCTGAGTTTCATACATCCACCATGTATCAATGAATACCATATCTACTGCTGAGTTTCATACAGCCACCATGTATCAATGACTACCATATCTACCGCTGAGTTTCCTACATCCACCATGTATCAATGACTACCATATCTACTGCTGAGTTTCCTACATCCACCATGTATCAATGACTACCATATCTACTGCTGAGTTTCATACAGCCACCATGTATCAATGACTACCATATCTACTGCTGAGTTTCATACATCCACCACGTATCAATGACTACCATATCTACTGCTGAGTTTCATACATCCACCATGTATCAATGACTACCATATCTACTGCTGAGTTTCATACATCCACTATGTATCAATGACTACCATATCTACTGCTGAGTTTCATACAGCCACCATGTATCAATGACTACCATATCTACTGCTGAGTTTCATACATCCACCATGTATCAATGACTACCATATCTACTGCTGAGTTTCATACATCCACCATGTATCAATGACTACCATATCTACTGCTGAGTTTCATACATCCACTATGTATCAATGACTACCATATCTACTGCTGAGTTTCCTACATCCACCATGTATCAATGACTACCATATCTACTGCTGAGTTTCATACATCCACCATGTATCAATGACTACCATATCTACTGCTGAGTTTCATACAGCCACCATGTATCAATGACTACCATATCTACTGCTGAGTTTCATACAGCCACCATGTATCAATGACTACCATATCTACTGCTGAGTTTCATACATCCACCATGTATCAATGACTACCATATCTACTGTTGAGTTTCATACAGCCACCATGTATCAATGACTACCATATCTACTGCTGAGTTTCCTACATCCACCATGTATCAATGACTACCATATCTACTGCTGAGTTTCATACATCCACCATGTATCAATGACTACCATATCTACTGCTGAGTTTCATACAGCCACCATGTATCAATGACTACCATATCTACTGCTGAGTTTCATACATCCACCATGTATCAATGACTACCATATCTACTGCTGAGTTTCATACATCCACCATGTATCAATGACTACCATATCTACTGCTGAGTTTCATACAGCCACCATGTATCAATGACTGCCATATCTACTGTTGAGTTTCATACATCCACCATGTATCAATGACTACCATATCTACTGCTGAGTTTTATACAGCCACCATGTATCAATGACTACCATATCTACTGTTGAGTTTCATACAGCCACCATGTATCAATGACTACCATATCTACTGTTGAGTTTCATACATCCACCATGTATCAATGACTACCATATCTACTGCTGAGTTTCATACATCCACTATGTATCAATGACTACCATATCTACTGCTGAGTTTCATACATCCACTATGTATCAATGACTACCATATCTACTGCTGAGTTTCATACAGCCACCATGTATCAATGACTACCATATCTACTGCTGAGTTTCATACAGCCACAATGTATCAATGACTACCATATCTACTGCTGAGTTTCCTACATCCACCATGTATCAATGACTACCATATCTACTGCTGAGTTTCCTACAGCCACCATGTATCAATGACTGCCATATCTACTGCTGAGTTTCCTACATCCATCATGTATCAATGACTACCATATCTACTGCTGAGTTTCCTACAGCCACCATGTATCAATGACTGCCATATCTACTGCTGAGTTTCATACAGCCACCATGTATCAATGACTACCATATCTACTGCTGAGTTTCCTACAGCCACCATGTATCAATGACTACCATATCTACTGCTGAGTTTCCTACATCCACCATGTATCAATGACTACCATATCTACTGCTGAGTTTCATACAGCCACCATGTATCAATGACTACCATATCTACTGCTGAGTTTCATACATCCACCATGTATCAATGACTACCATATCTACTGCTGAGTTTCATACATCCACCATGTATCAATGACTACCATATCTACTGCTGAGTTTCATACATCCACTATGTATCAATGACTACCATATCTACTGCTGAGTTTCATACAGCCACCATGTATCAATGACTACCATATCTACTGCTGAGTTTCATACAGCCACCATGTATCAATGACTACCATATCTACTGCTGAGTTTCATACATCCACCATGTATCAATGACTACCATATCTACTGTTGAATTTCATACATCCACCATGTATCAATGACTGCCATATCTACTGTTGAGTTTCATACATCCACCATGTATCAATGACTACCATATCTACTGCTGAGTTTCATACAGCCACCATGTATCAATGACTGCCATATCTACTGCTGAGTTTCATACAGCCACCATGTATCAATGACTACCATATCTACTGCTGAGTTTCATACAGCCACCATGTATCAATGACTGCCATATCTACTGTTGAGTTTCATACAGCCACCATGTATCAATGACTACCATATCTACTGCTGAGTTTCATACATCCACCATGTATCAATGACTACCATATCTACTGCTGAGTTTCCTACATCCACCATGTATCAATGACTACCATATCTACTGCTGAGTTTCATACATCCACCATGTATCAATGACTACCATATCTACTGCTGAGTTTCATACATCCACCATGTATCAATGACTACCATATCTACTGCTGAGTTTCCTACATCCACCATGTATCAATGACTACCATATCTACTGCTGAGTTTCATACAGCCATCATGCAGCAGCCAGTCTACAGGCCACATATTGGGTATGCGTTGGGGAGTCCTTGGTATTACAGCTGTATCATTGTCAGGAGACCCGTGAACATCCGGGTTAGCATAGATCCTCAGTAACCCATGTTGTAAGAGGTGACTATGCCTTATTGTAAGGGGCGACTAACGGGATCGGGTGGTCAGGCTTTTTGACTTGGTTGATGCATGTCATCGCATCCCAACTACGTAGATCGATGCTAATGATGTCAATCACTGGATTGTTTGGTCCAGACTCGATTATTTACAGACCGCTGTTATATAGCTGGAATATTACTGAGTGCGCCGTTGAACAACAAACAAACAAACATGGTCAGGACACAGAGAGAGTTCAAACTATGATACACACTGTAACGACTCTTCCCCGACTACATTCAGCTCCAGATCACACCATGCTACAAACATCCTGCTGTGGCCAGGACACATTTGAGAGTGTTTGGTCACAAACATTTCTCTGTAAACCTTACAAACTGAGTCTAAGCAGAACATAACGATTTCTCCATGCAACCCACCTGACTGGTCATCACGTCCGCTCCCCTGCGAGTCGTCACCATCATCTTCCCGCACCTTCTCCACCGACACCGACATCTTCCTCTCCTCACCACCGACCTCATCCTTCCCACCAAGGTCGTCAGCAGAAGTCCAGCTCTTCTGCTTAGCTAGTTTGGCGCCACGACGCTGAAGAAAAAGAGAAGAAAATGCTGCACATCTTCCTCTTTCAGCTACTGTATTACACCAAAATTGGACCATAATTTGTAATGTTGTTATATGGCAGTGTATTTTATTGTTTAACAATGATTGTAACTGTGTAGCATTGTTTCTGTTGGGATTCGATAGACACTCATTGCATTGTGTTTGGACATTGTGTTTGGACAGTGTCCGTCGTCAGGAAGTTACTATATTTAGATGCTAGTGTGGTGTGTAAACATCTGGTCTGGCATTCCACGGATGGTGATAGTATGTTACCGAAATTTCTGTAATGTTCTTAATGGTGAGGGCAAGGTATAGAAATTTCCAGTAGCTTGTTAGACTGTATATTTAGTGAGACAAGAGAGTTTATGTATCTCTCATACAGTTCATTGCTTGGGAACCAGCTTTCACGTGAGGATTGCTCACCATTCCTGATTCCCTGCCCATCTTGGAAGCTTGACCACTGTCGCCACTGGGTGAATATGTATTATTATCATGGACTGTTGCTTTCACCACTGTATTTCTGTACTTCATACTGATCACAGTCATCATATTATTTATTGTCATTGAATATTGTACTATCACTCTATTGTTTACTGTCATTGGAATTGTGGTGCAGTTATTTGTATTGATTTGCCATCTTAGAGAACTTTGTAATACATTTGTTAATTGTATACCACTTGTTTTTTTACGTACAGATTTCTGGATTTACATATTGTTTCAATTTGGGAAACGACACTTAACAATGTGTACTTTCCAAAAGACATCATCTACAGACAAGGAGGACAGTAAGCACTGTATCTCTCACAAAACTAGTTAGCTAGTTACCTTAGCCTTGGCCTCTTTCCTTGCCTGCTTCTTGTTCTTCTTCTTCTCCACATGCTTTGTGGGCTTGTCTGTAACGCCCCCCTCCACCCCCTTCACCTCCTCCGTGTCCATGCTCTCCTTCTTCCGACCCCCAAGGATCAGGTTCGGACGCTGAGGCTGCAGGAAACACAACGTCAAGCAATACTCAACGAAATAGGCTTCAGTTTAACATCGACCACATTAGGGGTGAATCGATACATCAATGCACCGGTGCCTCATGAGTTTTCATGTCACAATACGGAACAAGATACGTTTCTTTCTGTATCAATACAAGATCATACACCTGTGGAAATAAATTAATCACTACTTGTTTAATGACCCCTGTCATTTTTGTCAGTCAGATATTGCAAAATGTGTTGTAACTTGCGTTTCAAGTTCACTAATGACAAATTGCCACAATGAACATGTGTCTACAGCAAGCTTTTCCTTTTGAACCTGCTCTGAAATATTTATTGTCAAGAAGTTTACATGCGACTTGGCATAAATATGCGTATGCTACGTATCGTATTGTGACCTTGCTGTGTCGTTTCACCCCTAGACCACAAAGTCTGTTTAGAGTGTTGCTCATCAACACATAGAGCCTGTGATGGATGTATTGGATGTATTGGACTGCTCCACAAGTGCATCACCATGGTGTGCCACACTTTTGTATCTTGTCGTTCACAGGCTAATTCTTTGACATGTTGACTTGGGTATATAGATAAACATAGCTTTGTATGGTTCAACAAGCTGAGAAAGATTGAAGATGAATGTTTGACAAGATAGACATGACAGCCAGCACCAAAACATGAGTAACCTACCTTCTCCTCTGTGACAGGAAGGGACAGGTCCAAGAAAGGCTCAAATATTTGGGACACCTGTCAGTGTAGAAAACGTCCATGCATTATTTGCCCCCACATAGGTACAACAATCTACAGGTACAACAATCTACAGGTACAACAATCTACAGGTACAACAATCTATATTCGCATTAACTGAATCAAGAAATGGCTACTTGGACACTTCCTGAAAGCTAGATTATCTACTCGAGGTGTCACGATTCACTGACACACTGATGCACCGTGAACTTACACCTGATATGTCTGTCCATGTATCAACTGAATTCTTTCTATTTCTGTACAGATTTCCAAAAAGTAATATCTAGTATCTGATTGCAAATACTTTTAGAATCAGCCTAGTTCAACCAATGATGCAAGTTAAACACAAAATGATTCAAAGCATACCCTTTTGTTACTGGACCACATGCAAGAGTGGAGAGAAACGACACACTTAGTATCATGACTAAATGACTTGATCACAAAATGAGGGCCTATCTGATGTGGCTAGTGCAAGCTTTATTTACATAATCATTTAACAATCTACCCTAAAGAGACTATTTATGGTAGGACTGAATAATGCTACCCTAAACAGACTGTCTACGGTATGACTGAATCATGTTACCTTAAACAGACTATCTATGGTAGGACTGAATCATGTTACTTTAAACAGACTATCTATGGTAGGACTGAATCATGTTACCTTAAACAGACTATCTATGGTAGGACTGAATCATGTTACCCTAAACAGACTATCTATGGTATGACTGAATCATGTTACCCTAACAGACTATCTACGGTATGACTGAATCATGTTACCTTAAACAGACTATCTATGGTAGGACTGAATCATGTTACCTTAAACAGACTATCTACGGTATGACTGAATCATGCTACCTTAAACAGACTATCTACGGTAGGACTGAATCATGTTACCTTAAACAGACTATCTATGGTAGGACTGAATCATGTTACTTTAAACAGACTATCTATGGTATGACTGAATCATGTTACCTTAAACAGACTATCTACGGTATGACTGAATCATGTTACCTTAAACAGACTATCTACGGTATGACTGAATCATGCTACCTTAAACAGACTATCTACGGTAGGACTGAATCATGTTACCTTAAACAGACTATCTACGGTAGGACTGAATCATGTTACCTTAAACAGACTATCCATGGTAGGACTGAATCATGTTACCCTAATAGACTATCTAATGTAGGACTGAATCATGTTACCCTAACAGACTATCTACGGTATGACTGAATCATGTTACCCTAACAGACTATCTAATGTATGACTGAATCATCATGATCATGTTACCCTAAACAGACTATCTACGGTAGGACTGAATCATGCTATCTTAAACAGACAATCTACAGTAGGACTGAATAATGCTGCCATAAACAGACTATCTACGGTATGACTGAATCATGTTACCTTAAACAGACTATGTACGGTATGACTGAATCATTTTACCTTAAACAGACTATCTACGGTAGGACTGAATCATGTTACCCTAAACAGACTATCTACGGTCGAACTGATTGACATACGTGTTTGCACTCCTCACACATGACGGTGCTGACCAGCTGCCCGCCAAACACCGAGTCCAGGAACGTGTGTTTCACTTGCCGACCATACTCTGTGGACAACGTTTCGAAGCAGTTAGAATACAGAAACATGAAACTGAACACTTCAGTAAGATGCAACTACTTGACCACCAGTGTAAAGACAACAGAACCCTTCAGGCAACAACTGATCAGACACTGGTGTGGAGGTACAGACAACTGTATGTAGGAAGGAGGTACAGACAACTGTATGTAGGAAGGAGGTACAGACAACTGTATGTAGGAAGGAGGTACAGACAACTGTATGTAGGAAGGAGGTACAGACAACTGTATGTAGGAAGGAGGTACAGACAACTGTATGTAGGAAGGAGGTACAGACAACTGTATGTAGGAAGGAGGTACAGACAACTGTATGTAGGAAGGAGGTACAGACAACTGTATGTAGGAAGGAGGTACAGACAACTGTATGTAGGAAGGAGGCAGACAACTGTATGTAGGAAGGAGGTACAGACAACTGTATGTAGGAAGGAGGTACAGACAACTGTATGTAGGAAGGAGGTACAGACAACTGTATGTAGGAAGGAGGTAGACAACTGTATGTAGGAAGGAGGTACAGACAACTGTATGTAGGAAGGAGGTACAGACAACTGTATGTAGGAAGGAGGTACAGACAACTGTATGTAGGAAGGAGGCAGACAACTGTATGTAGGAAGGAGGTACAGACAACTGTATGTAGGAAGGAGGTACAGACAACTGTATGTAGGAAGGAGGTACAGACAACTGTATGTAGGAAGGAGGTACAGACAACTGTATGTAGGAAGGAGGTAGACAACTGTATGTAGGAAGGAGGTACAGACAACTGTATGTAGGAAGGAGGTACAGACAACTGTATGTAGGAAGCAGGTAGTCAACTGTATGTAGGAAGGAGGTAGACAACTGTATGTAGGAAGGAGGTACAGACAACTGTATGTAGGAAGGAGGTAGACAACTGTATGTAGGAAGGAGGTACAGACAACTGTATGTAGGAAGGAGGTACAGACAACTGTATGTAGGAAGGAGGTACAGACAACTGTATGTAGGAAGGAGGTAGACAACTGTATGTAGGAAGGAGGTAGACAACTGTATGTAGGAAGGAGGTACAGACAACTGTATGTAGGAAGGAGGTACAGACAACTGTATGTAGGAAGGAGGTACAGACAACTGTATGTAGGTAGGAGGTACAGACAACTGTATGTAGGAAGGAGGTACAGACAACTGTATGTAGGAAGGAGGTACAGACAACTGTATGTAGGAAGGAGGTAGACAACTGTATGTAGGAAGGAGGTACAGACAACTGTATGTAGGAAGGAGGTACAGACAACTGTATGTAGGTAGGAGGTACAGACAACTGTATGTAGGAAGGAGGTAGACAACTGTATGTAGGAAGGAGGTACAGACAACTGTATGTAGGAAGGAGGTACAGACAACTGTATGTAGGAAGGAGGTACAGACAACTGTATGTAGGAAGGAGGTACAGACAACTGTATGTAGGAAGGAGGTACAGACAACTGTATGTAGGAAGGAGGTACAGACAACTGTATGTAGGAAGGAGGTACAGACAACTGTATGTAGGAAGGAGGCAGCCAGCCTGATGTTGCCAGTTTCACTGTAGAGCAGAAGACATTGTTGTTTCACAAGTCAACATTGCAATGTGTCCACTGATGAATAGATGTCTGCTTTTTTGTTGTTTCACATTATTCTTGCAAATAGCAACTTTCCAATATAAAGAACAAAGGTAAAACAACATCACATAGTTTGTTGATTAATAATCATATATAAAGTATGACTCCATTATACCTTTGACCTTGACCTTGGTGTCATCATCAACCTTCTTTGGGTTGGTGGACTCCTGCAGCTTGAAGTACTTCAGAATCCCCATCTGGCCGCGCTGCACAAACCAGAACACACAATAAACTGACATAAACGTTTACTTGAAATGGGTATCTTAACCATTACATACAAAACAAAACTTCACATAAGTTCCTGGAAGTGGGAGCAGGACTGAAAGAATTTGAATGTTTAACAGAGCAACAATATTCCAGCTATATCATGTACATCAGGGGCAGACACCCATGTTCACATCTCACTACTACGCAGGTCATTTCTGATGAGTAGCTCATGTAACATAACTACAATGGGGAGGAACAACTAGTCCCTCGAAATATTCACTTGTCTCGGACCAACAGACTAGTGGCCGTGACTATCCATGCGTTTGACAGATGTAAATAGTCTGGGCCAGTCAAACCAGTGGTTGATATAATGAGCAGTTCCCATGTTGCCTGGGTGTAATGACATGCAATCAACCAGGCTGCCATACCCACAAGCAACTTCAGCATGCATAGTTTATTCCAGACAAAGACTACAGCTTCAAGTATCAGTGAGAGTCTGACCTTGACCTCCTCGGTGCGGATGACGTCAAGAAGGTAGCGCAGGAGCTCGTGACTGTCTTGCTGCTGGAATCCCTTGAACCGCGGGGCTCTGTAGACAGAGAGTCAGTTACCTCATTACATCATTGCAACATACACAGTGCACATGCTCAGTGTGACAGACACTACTCAAGATGATTGTGTAGGAAGGGAGGCAACTCTTCATGGAGACAGCTGTAGAAAAGACTTGGAAGAAATATCCAAAATATTAATGTTTGTAGTTTAGAATGCAAGGGGTGTGATATAACAATACTTTTCAGATAGGAATCTATTTGAGGCTTTAAGTTTCTGAAGTATAGATGGAATTTGCCAAGATATTTGTATTTATATCAGAACATTAGCTGCTCATATCCCATTGAATTCTGATGATAGTCGAGTGAGTGTCCATCATTATCTCCAGGACTTGCCAACGTCAGGTCCAGTCAGGATATGTAGCTGGTGTTTCTGTGCCTCCAAATGAACAAGCGACGGCTCAAATTAATAATACTTACTTTTTACAGACTTGTCCGAACAGGCCGCTGGGGTTGACGGTCATGTTGCGTGGCGCGGTGTGGTTCATGTCCTGCAGGAAGGTCATCATAGCCTGGGTCAGCGGCCCGGCATCAGGGGGCACAATCTCAATAGGAGACTGTGGGAAACAATGTCAGTCAGTAAACAGTGTATTCATCTTGATTAGAGTGAGTGATGAATCGCCAGGCCATTCATTTTTAACACACATGTATAAAGTAGGTTTTTTAATGAGATTCAGCTGGCTACTAGGCTCGAGCCCTTTGAAGATGTTCCTTGGCACAGTCCAGTGGACTTGCATTAATTCTTCCTGCTGGCATGATGTGTCTGGCTGGACAGGGGATGGATGCAGACTAACGGGTGATCATGGTGATCGATGACATTCACGCAGACTAACGGGTGATCATGGTGATCGATGACATTCACGCAGACTAACGGGTGATCATGGTGATGGATGACATTGCATGCAGACTAACGGGTGATCATGGTGATCGATGACATTCACGCAGACTAACGGGTGATCATGGTGATCGATGACATTCACGCAGACTAACGGGTGATCATGGTGATGGATGACATTGCATGCAGACTAACGGGTGATCATGGTGATCCATGACATTCACGCACCCTAACGGGTGATCATGGTGATGGATGACATTGCATGCAGACTAACGGGTGATCATGGTGATTGATGACATTCACGCAGACTAACGGGTGATCATGGTGATCGATGACATTGCATGCAGACTAACGGGTGATCATGGTGATCCATGACATTCACGCAGACTAACGGGTGATCATGGTGATGGATGACATTGCATGCAGACTAACGGGTGATCATGGTGATCGATGACATTGCATGCAGACTAACGGGTGATCATGGTGATCGATGACATTGCATGCAGACTAACGGGTGATCATGGTGATCGATGACATTGCATGCAGACTAACGGGTGATCATGGTGATCGATGACATTCACGCAGACTAACGGGTGATCATGGTGATGGATGACATTGCATGCAGACTAACAGGTGATCATGGTGATCGATGACAGTGCATGCAGACTAACGGGTGATCATGGTGATGGATGACATTGCATGCAGACTAACAGGTGATCATGGTGATCGATGACAGTGCATGCAGACTAACGGGTGATCATGGTGATCGATGACATTGCATGCAGACTAACGGTGATCAGGGTAATCGATGACAGTGCATGCAGACTGATGGGTGATCATGGTGATCGATGACATTGCATGCAGACTAACGGGTGATCATGGTGATCGATGACATTGCATGCAGACTAACGGGTGATCATGGTGATGGATGACATTGCATGCAGACTAACGGGTGATCATGGTGATTGATGACATTCACGCAGACTAACGGGTGATCATGGTGATCGATGACATTCACGCAGACTAACGGGTGATCATGGTGATCGATGACATTGCATGCAGACTAACGGGTGATCATGGTGATTGATGACATTCACGCAGACTAACGGGTGATCATGGTGATTGATGACATTCATGCAGACTAACGGGTGATCATGGTGATTGATGACATTGCATGCAGACTAACAGGTGATCATGGTAATCGATGACAGTGCATGCAGACTAATGGGTGATCATGGTGATCAATGACATTGCATGCAGACTAACGGGTGATCATGGTGATGGATGACATTGCATGCAGACTAACGGGTGATCATGGTGATCGATGACACTGCATGCAGACTTACGGGTGATCATGGTGATCGATGACATTGCATGCAGACTAACGGGTGATCATGGTGATAGATGACATTGCATGCAGACTAACGGTGATCAGGGTAATCGATGACAGTGCATGCAGACTGATGGGTGATCATTGTGATCGATGACATTGCATGCAGACTAACGGGTGATCATGGTGATCGATGACATTGCATGCAGACTAACGGGTGATCATGGTGATCGATGACAGTGCATGCAGACTAACGGATGATCATGGTGATCGATGACATTGCATGCAACGGGTGAGACATATGACAGGTGAACATACAATTTCCTTTAGCGAGTCGTCCTCGCTGTCATCATCGCTGGAACCCCCGGTGTCGGAGTCAGAGTTAGCAATCCGCCCAGGAAGCAGGAAACCACGCCCTTTCTTTGTCCGATCACACAGGATTGACTCCAGGCTGTGGGTCTGACTCAGATTCTGGAAACATCAGATCACACAGATGTACAGTCGGCAAGACCTCAACCCTAACTCCCTACATTAATGTCAACATATTCCAGTCTCTGAACACCAATCAGCCAGACCAACACACTGCCCTATGATCATTGAATTGAGGGACACTTAAGTGTGCAAAACTGCATAGAAACATGTGGTGACAAAGGTGACAGAGGTGACAAAGGTGACAAAGGTGACTGAGCTACATGTCCCAACAGTCGACACTGTCTCCTTGACATCGTATTGCCAACATTCAACATGTTCAGTCATCTTAAAAAATTTGTTCTCCATTTTCAGAATGTTAAATAAAGTTGGACACTGAGTTATAATCTGTACAATTGATATGAATAATATATCCCCCATACTATATCCCTCTGTGGAACATGTTCAACATATATGCAGGGATGTGAGCAGGTTTACCTCAAAATAGAGGATAACTCAAGGGGGTATGGGGGCATTCCCCCCAAGAATATTTTTAATCATTTGATTGCATTTTAAGCAATTTCGTGCAGTTTCACACCAAGAAATGACACGTGACACACTACTCTGAACATGTAGGAAGTCCTACCTGCATCACAGCATTGAAGAAACAGGTGTTTCCTAAGTTGCTCAGGCCCTGAAACAATCAACAGAAATAAAACAAAAAAACAACAACAGTCTGTTATTCCACCAGTCTAAATTCAGCAGTTAGATTTGTTCAGACTAGAAAACTTAGCAATAATTTATTGATAAACATGCCAAAGCCTACAAGCAGTTTTAAGGCATGAAACTTATTTTATACAAAATGGTGGAACATTATTTGTAGCTTCATCTCCAACACCTGCTGTGTTCGGTGTAGTAAGAAACTACCACAGTTGGATCTCCTACTGACCTTGACCTTCTGACAGGATGATGTAGCTACTGTGGCCTTGGGCGTGGTAGGTCGGCCGTTGTCCTTCACTGCAGCTAAATCAACTGTGGAGTCGGCCCTCCCTCGTCGCCCTGCAGTTACAGAAAGTGTTGGTCAAACCACTGAGGGAGTGAGGCAAGGATGGAGTGGGAGGGATGTGGAATGGGGCTGGAGGGAAGGGGCGGGGTTGGAGTAGGGGGTCAAGTAGGAGGGAGAGATGATGACGTGGCTGGGGTGGTTGTGTTGGAGTGAGAGGGGGTGACATGGGAGGAGGGGAGGGGGATGGTGTGGGGTGAGACATGATGACTTGGGTGGGGTGGTTGTGTTGGAGTGAGAGGGGGTGACATGGGTGGGGTGGTTGTGTTGGAGTGAGAGGGGGTGACATGGGTGGAGGGGAGGGGGATGGTGTGGTGAGACATGATGACATGGGTGGGGTGGTTGTGTTGGAGTGAGAGATGATGACGTGGCTGGGGTGGTTGTGTTGGAGTGACAGGTGACATGGGAGGGGGGGGAGGGGGTGAAGGGGGGATGGAGTGAGAGGGGATGACATGGAAGTGGGGTCTTGAGTGAGGACATTTTGAATCCCGAACCATTGTTTACACTAAACCATCTCCAAAAATTCAATGCTGGTGAATGGTCCATACATGCATTCCTGGTGATTGAGAATGTACCTGTGGCTGTCTGGTCGACACGCGGGAGGCCTGCCATCTTCCGCAGCATGTCCACACACTCCTGTATCCTCTTGCTTGTCTCCAGGATGATTTCCTCATCACACGCGTAACACCTGCAAAATTCACTCATTGTTTTCATCACCAATTATTCTTCATGTCATTCATTCAAAACAAGCCATCACTGGAAATAAATACACATTATGTATTTAAAGTTTGCATTGTAATAATGAAATCTAATAAAGCATGGTTGTCCATAGACATAATCTGACACTCACATTGAGAGAAATACATCCAAGTCACTTGCTCCAATATTCACTGCATCAAGTACAAACAGATCAAGACTTTTGTCAGCAGCTCGTATTATAAAACATAGTAAGATTGTTATGAAAACATTGCACAAAGTTTTCTGTCTCTGTCCCTGTCAAAAATATTTTTATTTCGTTGTTGTTTAATGCTGCACTCAGCAGTATTCCAGCTGTATGCCGACAGCCAAGACACCAGACCACCTGATCCACTTGGCCGCCTCTCACAACCAGCATAGGCTGTTGGGGGCCTATTCAGAATCCCTGTGGATAAATGTCATGAGAGTTGTGAAATCGGACTGATTATAAACCTGCTTTGATTTCACAGCGTTAGAAATTGGCATTAGTCCTGTAGTCCTTGCCAACCTGCCCAATACTAGTGGACTAAAATGTTAGTTTCTACAGCTGATCTCACTAAAGGACTTACTGAGGTTGTACTCACCAAACTGCCCATGATGTGAGGTTGACCACAACACAATGTGTTCCTGAGTGAGGGGTTTCATAGTGGGCAAGAGCATGTTTCTCCTTCGAATTCCGATCACAGCCCTGAAACAGTTGTAAATTGTAGTGTTTGGCAAATGGTGCCAAAGTGGTTCAACAATGGCATATTTATGAGGCTGTGTGTTGAAGCATGCACGCTGAAACTGTGACATTGTTCTGTGGACCTAGTGGTTAGATGCACCACAATTTACCATCCAGAGTTGCCTCCCTTACTTGCCTCTGGTCACTGAAACCACCCACACCTGCCTATGCTCATTGGTCTGGAAGGAAGTCATGTTTCATAACCTGGTAATCGTCAACAACCTTAGATTTCCACTAACATTAGGCAGAGAAACCTTCATTCTACCATGAATTTGGAATTAACTCGATTCTGATTGGTCAATCAGAGGCTATAAAATCACAATAAACCCCCTCTGATTGAAACAGCTGGTCGGTAGGCATATTTAAATAATTATATCTACAATTACAGGTTACAAAATGCACAGATGCGGTTACTACAATATTCAAAGGATGTGTGGCAATACATTTCGTGCTGAAAACACGGTAGAAATCTACAAAGGGAATGTATTTACGTTTTGGAGACGAGAGAGCTTGGAATTTTGGCGCTTTTCTATATACGACTGTGACGTCATATCTTTTGCGTCACAATGAGCGATATGACGTCATAATGGTGACGTGCGATGTGGAGCGAAAGCCTTGCAAAGATTGCTTTGTTTTCTTTAGGTATGCCCACCTCATGTTAGCTTACCAAGTTGCCGTGTTTATATGCTTTCAATTCCTGTCATATGTTCGAGTGAAGTATTACGGTGTAAACAAACTGCTTGCGTATATACAGCGCCATATTTTGTTCGGTGATTCCCTAATTCAGATCGATAACCAACTCAAAACACTGGACTCAACCCATGCCGCTTCACTCAGTATATTTACTGACACCAAAGAGTTCGCGTTTTATTTTGTCATGGTAGAATGGAGATAAACATACTGTGTTTTCAATGTAGAGCTAGGTTACCTGTAGATTTAACCGCGCTAAATTTAACATTTGAAACCTCACGCTGCGCGTTCTGTTCCAAATTCAATTTAGCGGGGTTAAATCTACAGGTAACCTAGCTCTACATTGAAAACACAGTATGTTTATCTCCTAATTGAAAGAAACACAGTTCAAAGAGGCATTACACGACTGGGTCACGTTCCTGCTGAGTAACCCGACCTCCCTGTAGCTGATCCATCCTTCTCACCTCCTGCTGAATGAGTGAGTGACACTGACCTGATTAAAACACTGGAGACACACCCAGATGGTCGTCTCCGTCTCGGTCTCCAGTGCCTCAGGTCCATCTGCAGTTGTTGTCTCCTTGGCGGGCCCCTTGTCCTTGGTGCAGGCCTGGGGGCAGAAGCATCACCAATATACATCTTCTTCAACATCCCTGATTTGATCACTTTCATGGTACTTACAACTGCACAGCAACTACATATTTCTTAAACCTTGAACTCACAGTGTAGCAAAGGACTTTGCTCAAACCATATCATCTTCGTGCATGTAAATATTTAAGAACTGAAGCTTGATAGAGTTAGGGCCAAACTGTATGAGTACCACAGCTTGCAAGCTGTTCTCATAATTTATTATGTCCCTATCTCATATCTCAAAGGACGCATACAGTTTCAGTTGGTCCGTGTGACTTCATGTTTACACTGACAGTCATACAACAACCAGCTGTATCACAGACAAACATACTTCCTCCTTGACTTCATGTTTACACTGACAGTCATACAACAACCAGCTGTATCACAGACAAACATACTTCCTCCTTGACTTCATGTTTACACTGACAGTCATACAACAACCAGCTGTATCACGGACAAACATACTTCCTCCTTGACTTCATGTTTACGTTGATCATGGACAAACATACTTCCTCAGAATGAGGGAAGACATGTATATGTATTACTGCCCTACATATTTTGACGTTTGGTTACAACAAATAGATATGAGTTAAATTCTCATTATCATATTGGTATCTACTTACCCCACATTCCCCGAAGGCGGCAGTGGGTTTAGACACGGCCTTCCTCACAACGGTCAAGTTGACGGCCTTGTTGATGTGTGTGCAGGTTGCCCCTCCTTTAACAGACATCGAAACCACGTACCAGACCGGGCATCACTTACACTAGCATACACTATAATATGCCTTGATACACTAGCATACACTATAATATGCCTTGATACACTAGCATACACTATAATACGCCTTGATACACTAGCATACACTATAATACGCCTTGATACACTAGCATACACTATAATATGCCTTGATACACTAGCATACACTATAATATGCCTTGATACACTAAAATATGCCTTGATACACTATCATACACTATAATACACCTTGATACACTATAATACGCCTTGATACACTAGCATACACTATAATATGTCTTGATACACTAGCATACACTATAATACGCCTTGATACACTAGCATACACTATAATACGCCTTGATACACTAGCATACACTATAATATGCCTTGATACACTAGCATACACTATAATATGCCTTGATACACTAAAATATGCCTTGATACACTATCATACACTATAATACACCTTGATACACTATAATACGCCTTGATACACTAGCATACACTATAATATGTCTTGATACACTAGCATACACTATAATACGCCTAGATACACTAGCATACACTATAATACGCCTTGATACACTAGTATACACTATAATACGCCTTGATACACTAGCTTACACTATAATACGCCTTGATACACTAGCATACACTATAATACGCCTTGATACACTAGCATACACTATAATATGCCTTGATACACTAGCATACACTATAATAAGCCTTGATACACAAGCATACACTATAATACGCCTTGATACACTAGCATACACTATAACAAGCCTTGATAAACTAGCATACACTATAATACGCCTTGATAAACTAGCATACACTATAATACGCCTTGATACACTAGCATACACTATAATATGCCTTCATACACTAGCATACATTATAATACACCTTGATACACTATAATATGCCTTGATACACTAGCATACACTACAATATGCCTTGATACACTAGCATACACTAAAATACGCCTTGATACACTAGCATACACTATAATACGCCTTGATACACTAGCATACACTATAATACGCCTTGATACACTAGCATACACTATAATACGCCTTGATACACTAGCATACACTATAATACACCTTGATACACTATAATACGCCTTGATACACTAGCATACACTATAATACACCTTGATACACTATCATACACTATAATACGCCTTGATACACCAGCATACACTATAATACGCCTTGCTACACTATCATACACTCTAACATGCCTTGATACACTAGCATACACTATAATATGCCTTGATACACTAGCATACACTATAATATGCCTTGATACACTAGCATACACTATAATACGCCTTGATACACTAGCATACACTATAATACGCCTTGATACACTTTAATACGCCTTAATACGCCTTGATACACTAGCATACACTATAATACGCCTTGATACACTATAATACACCTTGATACACTAGCATACACTATAATACGCCTTGATACACTATAATACACCTTGATACACTAGCATACACTATAATACGCCTTGATACACTATAACATGCCTTGATACACTAGCATACACTATAATATGCCTTGATAAACTAGCATACACTACAATATGCCTTGATACACTAGCATACACTATAATACACCTTGATACACTAGCATACACTATAATACGCCTTGATACACTAGCATACACTATAATACGCCTTGATACACTAGCATACACTATAATACGCCTTGATACACTATAATACGCCTTGATACACTAGCATACACTGTAATACACCTTGATACACTATAATACGCCTTGATACACTAGCATACACTATAATACGCCTTGATAAACTAGCATACACTATAATACACCTTGATACACTATCATACACTATAATACGCCTTGATACACCAGCATACACTATAATATGCCTTGATACACTAGCATACACTATAATATGCCTTGATACACTAGCATACACTATAATATGCCTTGATACACTATCATACACTATAACATGCCTTGATACACTAGCATACACTATAATATGCCTTGATACACTAGCATACACTATAATATGCCTTGATACACTAGCATACACTATAATACGCCTTGATAAACTAGCATACACTATAATACGCCTTGATACACTTTAATACGCCTTGATACACTAGCATACACTATAATACGCCTTGATACACTATAATACACCTTGATACACTAGCATACACTATAATACGCCTTGATACACTATAATACACCTTGATACACTAGCATACACTATAATACGCCTTGATACACTATGATATGCCTTGATACACTAGCATACACTATAATATGCCTTGATACACCAGCAACTATTCTAGAAACATTTGCGTTTCATCAATGTTTGAACCAGGTTCTTCATCTATCGCTCAAACACTGACAACAAATGTAACTCAGGTATTGTTTTAATAATTGCACCCTTGTCAGTTTGCTAAGCGTCCATGGCACTTATTATGAAGAATAGGGTAATTAACTTAGCATTCTCCAAACATTACCCCAGACATTGCAACATTGCAAACACACAGAAAGTTGTTAGATATAATAGGAGTAAGGTCTAAGGTGTGTGTGCAAAATATTTTATGTTCAGTAATTAGTGTTGGCCTGTTATAAAATTGCCAGGGCTGTTATTTTGAATTACTATCGGACTGTACAACCATCAACTAGAAAGTCCCCAGACCACTGATGACCAAGTCACTCTCACCTGCCGCACCCTCTTCACTGGAGTCAGATCCTCCGCCCTCATTCTTCTTTCTGAGTCGATGCTTTCTGTTTTTACCCATTTTGTAGGTTGGTGTTGTGTCGGTCTCTACAACTCTCATTGATACTGGTCTGGTGAAACTGTCGGGAGAGGGGAAATACAGCTGTTGTACAGTGCATATTGAATACCCTCACTACTTTTATTTAAATTGTATTTTTCAGAATAAACAAAAATAAAACATTTAATTATACAGATCACTCAAGCCACCACAAGAGCTCACTACACCCTATTAATTGATGTTTATCATTCTTTAAACTGTCTCTTCCTAAGTACATTTACTAGGAAAAAACTAGAAGAGGGAACATATATCTATCACCTAAAGTACTGTCAGAAATGCTAGAAAACTGCTTTTTGCCAGTTAAAAAAGGATATAATTTTTCACAGACAGTTGTTATTGAAATATCGAGTAACTACCGATCGACCTAACTGTGGTTTGAAGTATTTCAGTCACAAGGAGTCCTATCGACAAGTTTACAGGCAACAAATTCGAACAAAAACAGGAAGATCACATTTATTCTAAGTCCAATGATGGCAGTCTGAAACGGACTATAGAAATATGCGCACATGACTCCGTTATAATGATAATAATGTAGTCTTCATAAAACATCCAATCCACACACAGAAATCATTGAGAAAATTCGAGTTGTGCATCTTCTAAATGATAAAATGACGCTGTGTTTGTTTTGTTAACATTGCTCCCATGATGCATGTAACATTACACTTGCATTGCCATAACCATGGTACACGACATGGAGTCTGTACTAGGATATGCATACAAGTTCTTTACACTTTAGAGAGATAGAGGGAAACCATTTATTCATTTAGATAGGGTGAAATACCGAACTGCCCAAGCTATGGGGTTTTCTATTCATACCATCAAGTCTACGGTATAAGAAAACAAAACAGGAATAGGGGTTGTCTCAAAAACAAAACTGGGAAGTAAAAGACAGCTTTGATACAGGGTGATTTGGCGTATAGTGTACAAGCTTTATGAGCAAAAGGTTACCCTTACTTGTAGTAGAATTTGGGAGGAATTAAAGATACAATTAATGTTTCCTGCACTGCACTAACTATTGCTCCCCTAGAGATGGCGTTTCGATACACTGCGATAAATGCTACCTCAAGAAGACAGTCAGACATTGTGAGCTCAACCCTGTTGTGCCCATCTTGGCTAAGTGTAAAGGGTTTGTGGCATGACATAACACAACATTCAAAAGTACGTCATCAGCTACGTCATCAGCGGAGATAAATGCTACCTCAAGAAACCCTCTGTAGAACAACAAATACTTATGGATTCCAAAACCGCAACCTTCCAATACTCATCCCGTTTCATAGCTCTTAACTAGTCCATCATGTGATCAAGCAAATATAATGCAGTACATATCCTAAACTGCTACCCCGTCAACGCATGTCAATTGAGTACAATAACAGCAATATTTTGAGACCACCCCCAGCTCGGTGACATTTGCTCCTACGAGAATGCACGGGACTGTGTGAGGTCATCACCTCGGGAGAGATGTTAGGTAATTACCTCAGGTTATAGGCCATTTCATACATGCATGACAACAAATATTTTCCAAGTTTATCATCATTTTACCTATAAAATTACATTTTTAGGGTAATCACAATGTCAGTTGACAGGCTAGATTAGGTCAATTCGCACTATTTTGATATATGCTCTTTTTATAGTCCTATGACTCGTATTTATTACATGAAACCAGAAAAGCAGTTTTCTAGCATTTCCGACAGTACTTTAATATTCCCTGCACCCTCATTCTCTTTCTAGAACATACAGGTTGGTGTAATTGTGATTTAGGGATGGTTTAGTGGGCGTTTAAAGTGTGAGATAGGATAAGATATACACGAGGAAGCTTGATCTGAGCCATGATAAATCCAAGCATTGTCAGAGCCTAGTTGTAAAATAGGAACTCGTGTAAGGGTTGTTTCTGAAATCCCTCTTTGTGTTACCATGGTTACTAAGACAGATGCAGCCTGAGCTCAGATACTCATGCCTTCTGTGGTTTCATACAGGACATCGATCCAAGGAACGACGGTGTAACTTTTGAGTCAAGTGAAGCTTACTCAGTCACAACTTTATCCTCACCCGTTTAAGAAGTGTTCTGTTACAAACACCTCTTCCTGGACAGTAGGTTCTACAAGACAGACCTCACACATACAATCCATTGGACATGGAGGTGAACAGACACAAGATAGGGACACCGTATTTCGCAAAATGGAAAGTTCTGAGGATAATAGAACGCAGCCAATAGGAGATGGTGGTCCTTGAAATCTCTGAAGTTGAAGGCATCCACAATGGGAGAACAAACACTTGCGCGCAGGTAAGGACTGAGAAGCCTTCAGGTAGATACTCAAGGTTCCGACTGTGCAGAACGAGAGGCCTTCCACATCATCTCCAGGGTCACACATAGGGGAGGAAAGGCAACTCTCTGCTGATGGTCAAGGTTTGTCCAACAATGACACGAAGGTAACATTCCTCTTGGAGGTAAGTAGTGAATCCTCAGTCAACCGGACAACTGTAGGTAACTGGGTGTCGTCACTAGCACAGGGTGTGGTCTTCACAGAGGCGGCTAGATCGACATTCAGGAATGAATCCCATAGGGCATCCTCTTTGATCGATAACGACAGAACAGTTGAAGTCGCAATCTTGCGTGAACACGAAGGAGGCACAGAAACATTAGAAGACACTGTCTGCTTCAGTTTCTTGCTGGGTGAAGGATCATGCTTTGAATGGTGAGAGGCAGGTTTGGACTGCCTATTAACTGACCGCTTGTGGCATTTTCGCAGGTAAGTTTTAAACCCTGGCTCTGAGAGGTTACACACAAAGTGCATATATTATCGGCAGTACACATTCCTCGGCAGTCACAGCATATGAAATGGGGGCCATGTGGCGAATATAGCCTATTACCATCTTTACAGAGGGGGCGTGACAGCTCCATTGACTTGTGTAGAACTTAGCGGTTGTAAATTGTAGAGACAGAAATACCTCGACAAAAATAAATAATATGTATTCTCTGTTGCTGAATGACCTATCCACCAGGCATTAAGAAAGATGATGAGGGTGCAGGGAAGAGCAGGTGATGGGAAGGATCGAAGAAGGAAGAATGCATAATGCGAGATAGGATAAGTTTCTAAAATTTAAATATTTGGCATGATGTGACAAAAGCCATAACAAAGACAAGCTAATCAATAAGAATGATCTTGCTTAAGCTATGAAAGTTAAAGCTGATTTGTCCATTCACTCTCCTGCTCCAATTAACAGGTTGGCGATCATGTATGTCCACTGGAGTATATTTCATACAGTGTGCAACATATTCCGCTTTGAAACTGTCATTTGTTAAGTGATTTAGTGTCCTGCTTACCCTGTGAAGGATGCAAAATAACAGGCAGCATTTACTAGCCTGCATGGTGACAACATATGACACACCCTAAAAAGCCTGAAATTCTTCTCGTCCTAGGGATAACTTTAAAGTTTAACTTCAGACAACCTAGTGCAAAGATGCAATGTGCTTGTGATTTTGACAATTTACATGGGTTAAAATTTGAGTAAACAAAATTTTCCAGATGTAATTTGGAAACATTGCCAAGATTACAACACCTTTGAAGTATTACAAATATATATACCTCATTTGTTGCAGCGTATAACAATTTTACTCCTCTAGTCCTTATAATGTCCTTATGATACCTTAACCATTGGGAAGTTTGGCAAGGACTACAGGACTGGTGTCAATTTCTAACGCTGTTTGTAGTATTCTAAATCTAATAATATATGAATGTATTAGATCAGGTTCTATGTAGATCCATGTCGTCCATCATTTGATTCATCTACTGAAGGTCAAGGGACCAAATGCCAGTCTTGCTGATTCAGGTATCATACTGAATTCACAAGGTTCTCATTGTAAAAGTCTCCATGAGACAAAGAAGAGTCCATAATTTGATTTTGAAGACTGCTCGGTAACAAACTACAGTCAAGTCCCGTTAATTAATCCGACATTGTTGGTTACATATGATTATGTCGGATTAACAAGTATGTTGGATACACGAAATTAGGTAGTACAAACGTTCGTGATCGAAAATTGGACAACTACACGATAGATAACGATATGAACACGTAGGAAAATGAAAAATGAAATATTCATAGTGTTGTGTTACATTCAACGGAATATGTTTTCTAATCATGCAACCACTAAAGTTTAACACAAAACTACTGTTATGGACTGTCTGACTGATTCAAAATTGACTGATTTTTAAAGCATAGTCTGGAAGGGAAGTCGCTAATTTGAAACTAGAGCCACAATGCTCAAGAAAGCTGCCTTCTTAGTGGCTAATGTCGACTTCCTGGTTAGTAATTTCATTGGTCGGTCAAAGGGACCTGCAATGGGATGTCCGTAACGAGAACTTGTATCCGATTTTAATGAGATTGAGATAATCTAGGCATGTGATTAATCCTGTTTTGTTTATTTAAAGCAGTAATTGTTTATTGTTAAGCAAGTTTATCTCTGCAGCCGTTGAAATATGCAGCTACTCGCCGACTCGTCTCGCATCAAAACATAGGGGTGTGTACTCGCGGGCAGATGACCACGGAGTGCGCTGATAACTGTGTCGGATTAACAAGACTGATTGATGTGTGATTTCAGTAATTTGTTGCAAATTAGGTGTGTCAGTGTCGGAGTCGGAGTGCGAGACTGTTGGATTAACGGGTCTAAATGGCACTGATTAAATCGGTTCCCATCATTTGTCGGATAAAGCCGGTTGTCGGATTAGCAAGTGTCGGATTAACGAGACTTGACTGTATACCCACAGCTGACAGAGTAGGGAGACGTTCATAAATAAGTATTGCGGAAGATTGATAGGCTAATCTACCGTGAGATGTGATACAGCTGAAACTTATGCCATCAGGTATTACTACATTGCTCGATGGATCCTCAACCACCCCATCCACTTTTCCCCATCAAAAGTCTAACTGGACCCCATCACAAGACAAAATAGTCACCGAGATAAGTTCAGGTGTGTAAATTAGTGAGACGTGTATCTGGCACCAGTAAAATATTTCTACTAGTCTCCAAGTGAACACCACAATGTCTAATAGTCGCCAAGCTTGTGTTCACTGTATCAACATCTCCTCCTGTAGCGTAACGCTGAAGACTTCAGAAAACGAAAGTCCAGAGAGGTTCAAATGCAGTGAAATGACCCAGCTGCGCTGCCTATTTCTTGGGCATAATTTCGGTATGGCGAGTCTACACACAGCAGACTGTTGCCCAACAATCTCAGAGACATGTTTCAAGAATACATACCTTCAGAATATATTAAAGTATATAAGAATCGTGGCTGAATGTGTCAGCACATTCACACATCGTGGAAGATGGCGAAACCGGAAGTTGTAAGAATTTCAAAATCATATACGGTTGTCGTAAATTTAGCAATATCATTTTTACAGTTGCAGACTCACGTACATATATATGTTTGTAACCTAGAGCTATCGCGTGCACATGTGTCACCGTCAATACAAAATCGTCAGTTGATTTACGTCATTTTACGACAATCAAAGTTATCTCCCTTAGCCCGACTTGTGATCATGATTAAAAAAAGGTGACTGTTGGTGTTGTCAGCTCAATCCAAATGTTTGAATCAATACATTTAAATGTGTTTATCAAAGGTTATCTTCGAAGGCAATCATGTACTTAGCATAGAACATTTTAGAGCACCAATGTCGTTCTCTTGCTGAAATGTTGTTTGATCACTGTGTGAGTGAGTTGATATTTTACGTCGCATCGGCATTATTTCAGTCATATAGCGACGAGATGTATACGGGACTATTCTAAAGGATTTTGTATTTATCAATTTCCATGACGCTCTCTGCATATTCTGGGTCGTACCATGGATGGACCTCTGTATCACAACCACAAGCATGGCGAAGACGGTAATAAAAGGACGTGCGCAGGACTCTGCAGGGTTGCTGATCGTCTCAACACACTGAACATGAACTCGATGCAGTGGTCGTTCAGATAGCCTCTCCTTGAAAAACTTAGTCTTGGCTTGGTCTTGTCGCTTAGTTGACGCTCATTTCTGTACCGCCCAGAAATGTACAGTACAGAACCATCTCAACTGTACAAGCGACTGTATTTTAAAGAGATATCTTTATAATATGGATATTGAAAGGATTTTGTCGGTTTTTTTTAATCAGAATGTTTTCTTTTGAGACCTAAATAGTCAACTAGTCGTGGTTTAAGGCACCAAAGCAGCCTTACGTACATATTTCCAAGGGAGCTGAGAATGACAGTGATATGTTGGTCAGGATAAATTATGTAGGTGTTACGACCAGGATTTGTGTTGAATCAGCGCTGTACAAATGTGTATTAATATACTCCTCTAGACAAGTATGAGAACATAGGGTACTTATATATTGACAGTTTTCAGAGGTTGAGAGATTTGAACAGAATGGTGATAAGGTGACAAATCACCCAATGCGTCCACGGATAGCATGGCTGTCATGCCATGAACACATCTTCGACTGTTGGTGTGATTTAGAGATTCCGCTCAGGCAAAAATATAAATTCACGGAAGAACTTCAACATGCGCCAACACACATTGATGCCACTGTACGTGAGACAGGACGGTTTTGTGGTGGATTCCTCCAGACCCTTTGTTACCAGCTCTTGTCGCTTTGTGGGACGGGTCAAAGGACGACAAGGAAAGACTTCACAGAAGGAGAGTTGCCCCTGCCTTCTCACAACAGAATAGTCTCGTACATGCAGCTTATTCCTCCGATCTTGCACCGATCGAACATCTGTGGGAAGTTCTGTGGAGAAATCTGGTGCAGGACCACCGTCAGCCAGCATATCTGCAACAACTGTTCAGTTCTTCCAAGCAGAATGGCTAGTCATCCCCAAGATTCTGCAGATATTAGGACACTCAACGTGACATCATTGCAGAGAGCGTTAACAGCAATGAGGTGACCACAAACATTATTTACACTGTTAGACCACGAGAGACTGCCTAAGGACCCACGTGTTTTCAGTACCTGCATCCAGGTTATCATGGCATTCATTGCCTTTTTTCTTTGCAGCAATGAGTATTCTTTTTGTTCATAAAATATATGTTTATGTCTGTTTTGTTGTCATGGTCTCGGCTTCTGAAAATCAGGTGTTCCCAAACCTTTATTAAGGAGCATTTTCTGAAATTCAGGGGGGGGGGGGGGGGGGGCATAATTTCTTTACTATACTCTGGGTTGATTTGTGGTGAATTAAAAGAAATGTCTTGAAAAAAACATGGTTGAGTGTTTGCAGGCCAAGCAACATAGTTTATGACCAGATGAAACCAGGATAGGAGCTGGCACATGTTCAGGATTAAACTTATATTCAGTTCAGATTGGACAAAAAGAGACTAACACATTCTGGTTTCATGGTTGATTACATATTCACATAAATAATATTTTTTTGAGACCAGATCTAAACCACCCTCTTACGTTGGCTGTAACATTTCACTGATACCTCTATCATCAATACTGAGGTACAGACGATACTTGAATTGTCAGTTTATGAGATCATGATAAACTATCAATAGAACAGGAAGTGATAGTCACTTACGGTAATGGCAGAAGTAGCATAGCGCAACTTGTAAGCATGACAGAACCGAGAACGTGGTGATCGAGGACGCGTACACTATGTAGAATATTACATTTTATAACCATCCCTTCATTATAAACTCTCGTTCTTTTTTCTTTTTTTTGTCAACAAGTTTTTGACTTAATAATAAATAAATGCATGAAGCAAAAGTTTTTAGAGTTGTACTTCAGTGATTTCTTCATTTCATATTATTTCTTGTGGTGTATGGCATACCAGTGGTATGTCATACCAGGCGATACTCAGCTCTACTTCTTAGATCACTATTAAAGCAGGCAGGGTGGAATTGCAACAGCATTCAAATGTAATCAAACATCCAGAAGGATATGATCTGAAATGAAGTGATAAAACACCAGTTGTCATGGTCGCTGCAAGTAATCTTGTCACATTTGTTGTCTTTCATTGGTTCCATAAATTGGTAGATTTGTACATGTGACAGGGAAACATATTAAAGAATGTTCATTCTGGTTTCAAATACGCCTATGACTGATGTTGATGTGAACATGACAGTGTCTGAAGGGTGAGTGAGTGAATGTTGTTCAACGCCACAATCATACATTCCACCTATACCATAGCACCCTGTAAATAATCAAACCCTGACTAGGCAAACCAGTGACTGAAAGCATGAGTGGCGATCTACACAATCAGTCACAGTGACAGGCATACACAAAGCCTGACCACACGACCCTCATGTAAGTCCATTTTTAAGGCAAATATGAGGTACTGGTGACCTAGTCTGACCCAACCAGGGTCCCTTCCACAAAGCGATCATAACGCTAAGACAAGCATAGATCCCATACTTGAAGAAAGACTTACGACAGTCGTAGTGCTAAGACAAGCATAGCTCCCACACTTGAGTAAAGACTTAGGGCAGTCGTAGTGCTAAGACAAGCATAGCTCCCATACTTGAGGAAAGACTTACAACATTCGTAATGCTAAGACGTCCATAGCTCCCATACTTGAGGAAAGACTTACGACAGTCGTAGTGCTAAGACGACCATAGCTCCCATACTTGAGGAAAGACTTACGACAGTCGTAGTGCTAAGACGACCATAGCTCCCATACTTGAGGAAAGACTTACGACAGTCGTAATGCTAAGAGAACCATAGCTCCCATACTTGAGGAAAGATTTACGACAGTCGTAATGCTAAGACAACCATAGATCCCATACTTGAGGAATGATTTACGACAGTCGTAGAGCTACGATTGCTTTGTGGAACGGGTCTCATGACTCATCTGCAGTTTCATTCTCAAGAAACAAACACCCAGCATATATACCTTGCTTACAATACATTCTAAAAAGGCCAGTCATTAAGGTAAAATGTTTATAATATGTATATTCCTTGCCATCACATGTTGTTTGCTAGTGAAGGGCCAATTGAATAAGAGATAGACAACCTGCACAGGTAATCCTTCTCATACAGTGCAGACAGCACCGGCAGCAATTGAACAAGACCAGAGCATAAATAGAGAAGGTTTATTGACCTTTCATTTCAATATGATGATGCAGACAAATACATGAACTTGGTATCAACAGAATATAACTGGAATGACAACATCATGTGTAGCAGTGGAGGTTGTTCATGTTCTACAGGCCTGACTGTTCTGGGCATGGCATCCCAACCTAGCAGCTGTCACTCAAACATACGTTCTGCCGGATACAATCTGAAGCTGGCGGTATTCACATCATCATGAACTCTAAAGACCCATGTAGGGGAATTATGAAAGTATGAGGGCTAATCATTGAAAACAGAAGTGTTGACACACAATATCCATGAAACAGTCTGTATCCATATCCAACATCGGAATACAAATACAACTAAAGTTATTGAAAATATCTGCTAATGTTGGCCAACTTTTATTGTAGTATTTTGTGCTTTGTCAACAACTTCTGTCTCAAAAGCTTAAAAATAAAAGGTAAGGCGTCCTATGAAATGCTGTATGCAATACTCTTTATATCATGTATTTCAGTCGATATATCAATACTGATATTTCCCATAAGTGACAGGCCCCAAGGCGTCTGCATGACTCAGTGTTGGCAGTTAGTGCCCCGACTGTACTGATGTAGTCCGCCTTCAGCACCCCGAGAGGGCCCCTCCCTGAGGAGGGAGCCATGCTACACATGATGTTGGAGTGACGATGCTGTACGTTGCTGTGTGGAGGAGCTATGTGAGGATGTCGTGAGCCCGATCCTCCACCAGTCGCTCCATCTGCTTCACATCCTCACACCACTGGTCCAGACGTGTCTTCATGCCGCAGATCTGAAACACAGGACAGGGAACATGGGAGTGCAGGGCAGTCGGCGCTGGTAAGTGAAACATTCACCTCATTGGTTTCTACATTTTTCAATATATAGTGTCACATCCATCTAATAGATTTCATGTCGAGATCTTTCTATAGTGTTACATCTATATGATAGATTTCATTTCTTGATCTTTTTAGATATAGTGTCATGTCCATTTGATAGATTTCACTTCTAGATCATATCAAACTTGGTCTCATCTGTGCTATGTCTACAATGTTGTAAATACTTCACCTGTGAGATGTCGAGAACGCGTGGTTGTACCCAGGTCATATGAACTTTGCAGTCGACTTCGTCTATTGATCCTTTCACAAGGCCGAGACTCAGTGCCTTCATCACCAGCATCTCAACCTGAGGGAGAGGGGCACATGTTACTATGGTTACAAAACAGTAATTGCATGTGTGAGTCTGTGTGTTTCCATTTATACATGTCTGACCTAACATGTGTCAACTTGGTTCTACCGAAACACGCAACTACCTACACGTGTGTATAATCACATGTGTCTAGCTACAGATGGGAACAAGGGAGAAGTGTCAGGGCTGACCTCATTGAGAGGAACCTTGGCCTCTTGTGCAATCTCTGCGAATGTCATCTGTCTGTTTGTTGCCGGCCTCCTGAATGTGATCTGAAACAAGCCAATCTATTACTGTCACTAACAATCATCAACACGGACCATAGCCACATAACGTACAGAGGAATGGTTTTATAGTCTGCTGATCATTCTAAAGAATACAGGCTGAAACAAAACTGATACACAACCTTCAATCCTGATCAATATCTCTGTGTTTAGGCCCTGCACAACTTTATGTTTGTAAGCCCACAAGCTCGGAGTGAGTGAGTGAGAGTATTGTCTTAAGCCCCTTTCAGCAATATTCCTGCAACATCAGAGCAAAGGGAATCTTGTCCGTCTCTGGACACAGGAAAGTGCAATCCTTGAAGAGTTTCATAGCCACATGCACATCTGTTGCCCAGTGTAGGGGATTTAGCAACATACTGCAGTCAAACTAAACAACTGTTGCTCTTCCTGCGTCATGTTCGTCCCATGGTGACACCATGTCCAAGGCCGTCGAATCCCGCCAGTTATGGTATCATGTAGCGAACCAACTTGGCAAGCACACTATTTAATGGCTTGCAGATGCTGCCGTCTGCTAACATTAGTGGTGGAAACAAAGTTGCAAAGTTGCAACCATAAAATCTTAAATCTAAATCCTTTTTATTGCTGCATGGTGCTTTAACTTTAATTGTTCTGAACAAACCTATTCTTTATTAAACAGCATATGGGGATACAGCAAACCTTATTACTTTAATATATACACATTTCTTTGTCAAAACGTTCTAATACCCTTAATTTAACATGTGCAGGTATCATGCACGACTACACAAGGAAATGTATGTAACATAAGGCAGTCCCTTACTAACACTGTGTAGACATTGTATTACAGGCCTCTCACCTCTTAATTAAGGAAACAAAATAACAATAGAGTTATCAATATGTAAGCCCACAATACTGTGAGTGACGTACCTCCATCAGACAAAGCAGGGATATTTTCTGCCTCATGCCGACTTCATGTGCTGCCAGGTCAGCCTGCAACACACGACAGCTGGATGTAACACCTCTCACACAACACACAACACCTTAATGTAACACCTCTCTCACAACACACAACACCTTGATGTTACTCCTCTCACACAACACCTTGATGTTACATGTCTCACACAACACCTTGATGTTACTCCTCTCTCACAACACACAACAGCTTGATGTAACACCTCTCACACAACACACAACACCTTGATGTTACTCCTCTCAAACAACACACAACAGCTTGATGTAACACCTCTCACACAACACACAACACCTTGATGTTACTCCTCTCAAACAACACACAACACCTTGATGTTACTCCTCTCAAACAACACACAACACCTTGATGTTACTCCTCTCACACAACACACAACACCTTGATGTAACACCTCTCAAACAACACACAACAGCTTGATGTAACACCTCTCAAACAACACTTTGATGTTACTCCTCTCAAACAACACACAACACCTTGATGTTACTCCTCTCTCACAACACACAACAGCTTGATGTAACACCTCTCACACAACACACAACAGCTTGATGTAACACCTCCCAAACAACACCTTGATGTTACTCCTCTCAAACAACACACAACACCTTGATGTTACTCCTCTCACACAACACACAACACCTTGATGTAACACCTCTCAAACAACACACAACACCCTGATGTTACTCCTTTCACACAACAGTTTGATGTTACTCCTCTCACACAACACACAACACCTTGATGTAACACCTCTCAAACAACACACAACACCTTGATGTTACTCCTCTCACACAACACACAACACCTTGATGTAACACCTCTCACACAACACACAACAGCTTGATGTTACATGTCTCAAACAACACACAACACCCTGATGTTACTCCTTTCACACAACAGTTTGATGTTACTCCTCTCACACAACAGCTTGATGTTACTCCTCTCACACAACAGCTTGATGTTACTCCTCTCACACAACACCCTGATGTTACTCCTTTCACACAACACCCTGATGTTACTCCTTTCACACAACAGTTTGATGTTACTCCTCTCACACAACAGCTTGATGTTACTCCTCTCACACAACAGCTTGATGTTACTCCTCTCACACAACACCCTGATGTTACTCCTTTCACACAACAGCTTGATGTTACTCCTCTCACACAACAGCTTGATGTTACTCCTCTCACACAACAGCTTGATGTTACATGTCTCACACAACACCTTGATGTTACATGTCTCACACAACAGCTTGATGTAACACCTCTCACACAACACCTTGATGTTACTCCTCTCACACAACACACAACACCTTGATGTTACTCCTCTCACACAACACACAACACCTTGATGTAACACCTCTCAAACAACACACAACACCCTGATGTTACTCCTTTCACACAACAGTTTGATGTTACTCCTCTCACACAACACACAACACCTTGATGTAACACCTCTCAAACAACACACAACACCTTGATGTTACTCCTCTCACACAACACACAACACCTTGATGTAACACCTCTCACACAACACACAACAGCTTGATGTTACATGTCTCAAACAACACACAACACCCTGATGTTACTCCTTTCACACAACAGTTTGATGTTACTCCTCTCACACAACAGCTTGATGTTACTCCTCTCACACAACACCCTGATGTTACTCCTTTCACACAACAGCTTGATGTTACTCCTCTCACACAACAGCTTGATGTTACTCCTCTCACACAACAGCTTGATGTTACATGTCTCACACAACAGCTTGATGTTACTCCTCTCACACAACACCTTGATGTTACTCCTCTCACACAACACCTTGATGTTACATGTCTCACACAGCAAACAGCTTGATGTTACTCCTCACACAACACACAACAGCTTGATGTTACTCCTCTCACACTACACACAACAGCTTGATGTTACTCCTCTCACACAACACACATCAGCTTGATGTTGAATTCTTAGAACTCACACTTAGTGTGTGGAAAAGAGACATGTTTGTAACATCCTGTAAAAGAAGACACTTACCTGTGTCTGCCACTGTTTCTTGAGGTCATCAAATTTGGCAATGTTGCCACTGTTAAAGGCATATAGAAGATCTACCAGCCATCCTCGCTCTGTACCTTTCAGTGTCTCCAGGATAGGGTGAGCTAACTGTAGCAGAAAAAAACATATCACTCATCATACATGGAATGGAGAACCGCACACCTCTCGGTTTCACTGTAATCACAAGTCCAATACTCCAGAAGCTGAATACCTTGACTCTATGACAGACTTACTGGACAGGTCAGTGGTCAAGTTTACAGACCTATAGTGAGAGGTGAGCTGGTGACCTATGATGTCTATTGTAAAAAGTCAATGTTCCGAAATTTCACTTAAATTTCTATAGAATTCTTGGACTGATATGTGTTCTTGTGGTCAGTGATAAAGTCCATACAAAGCATCTGACAAATGTTGTCTGAGACTCCAACAGCTACAGGTATTGTAGAAAAGCTCACCAGTTCTCCAAAGTTGTACACTCCATCCCCCAAGACAGCCGCCAGCCCAAGATTGAAGGCTCTCTCTACCTGCTCCCCAGCTGTAACAAACAAATAACTAATTGATATTTATAATATCATGTCTAACAGTCTAAGGTTTATCAAAATATGTGTCCTTATATGTGAGCAATACATGAGCCAGCACATGTTTCAGAGTGAGATACATCCCTGTAAATACACCTGTCATCAATACAATACTAACTAGGCATACTAGCAGTTCAAACTCATCTCTTTTAATAGAAAGTATCACAAAACAGTTTGCATAGGAGACTGGTGATTCCAAGAGGTGCAATGAACTTACCTCTGCTATATATGCCAGGTCGGAGGAGTCTGGTGGTACCTTGAGGGGTCAAGGACTCACCTGCTATATCTGCCAGGTCGGAGGAGGCCGGTGGTACCGAGAGGGGTCAAGGACGTACCTGCTATATCTGCCAGGTCGGAGGAGTCTGGTGGTACCTTAAGGGGTCAAGGACGTACCTGCTATATCTGCCAGGCCGGTGGTACCGAGAGGGGTCAAGGACGTACCTGCTATATCTGCCAGGTTGGTGGAGGCCAGTGGTACCGAGAGGGGTCAAGGACGTACCTGCTATATCTGCCAGGTCGGTGGAGGCCAGTGGTACCGAGAGGGGTCAAGGACGTACCTGCTATATCTGCCAGGTCGGTGGAGGCCAGTGGTACCGAGAGGGGTCAAGGACGTACCTGCTACATCTGCCAGGTCGGAGGAAGCCGGTGGTACCAGAGGGGTCAAGGACGTACCTGCTATATCTGCCAGGTCGGTGGAGGCCAGTGGTACCGAGAGGGGTCAAGGACGTACCTGCTATATCTGCCAGGTCGGTGGAGGCCAGTGGTACCGAGAGGGGTCAAGGACGTACCTGCTACATCTGCCAGGTCGGAGGAGGCCGGTGGTACGGAGAGGGGTCAAGAACGTACCTGCTAAATCTGCCAGGTCGGAGGAGGCCGGTGGTACCGAGAGGGGTCAAAAACGTACCTGCTATATCTGCCAGGTCGGTGCAGCCGAGGTATCGCAAAGCCTCCTTGTAGTATTCGGCATGGTTCCCCATCAGCTTGTGGTAATTACTGGACAGTTCATAGAAGCGACTGTGGACCGACGTCACACCATATAGAGCATCCAAGATGCCCTTGCATTCCTCCACAAGCACCTGCACACCATCATACAATTGTAAACTCACCATAGACTCTAGGTGTGCTATCTATTGAGGACTGTAGCTTTGCATGTGCGTACAAAAGACAGAAGCTTTGCAAGTGCTTACAAAATTAAACAAAGTATTTGTGTTATAATACAGTACTTTGAAATGTGATGACTTGCATCGATAAAACAATAATGATACTAAGGACAGAATATCGGGTTACCACTGTGTTATTCACTGACACAACTTCACCTGAGTAAAGAAATAAGTCACAAGCTCTGTATCAAATACTTTCTCTGGACTAGATTCAACCCCTGAAGACCCGGGGTAGAGTAGATCTTCAGCAACCAATGGCTTGCCGTAATAGGCAACTATGCTTGACGTAAGAGGCGACTAATGGGATTGGGTGGTCAGGCTCACTGACTTGGTTGATGCATGTCATCAGATCCCAATTGCGTGGATCGATGCTCATGATGTCAATCACTGGATTGTCTGGTCCAGACTCGATTATTTACAGACCGCCGTCATATAGCTGGAATATTGCTGAGTGTGGCATTAAACAAACAATCAAACAAAACATATCTGGACCAGATTCACATCAACTACCAAAAATAACATTATCATCATGGTCTGAGCTAAACAAAATTCAGTCTACAAGCTTGAACATAAAACTTCTTTTCAAGATGTTAGTCTTTAGATGACGATTACTATAAAATATTAGCCTAACCAATCAGCATTATGTTTGGCCTGACCTTGGTGCCGTCGAAGTCTTTGTTCTTCAGTTTGGCCATACCCATGGTGGTGATACACAGAACCTTGGCCTCGTCACTGCTCTTCACCTGGAATACACACCAACTCATCACACATCCCGTCACTGTATCACAGGTCATCACATTACAACATCACCATGCTCTTTGTGCGAAACAGTCCAGAACCAACAGCTTGTTTAGTTCTTCATATACTGCAAGCAGTAACAACACACAGAGGCTTACATACAAACAAAGGTGAGAGTTTTAAATAATTATTACCTTGTCTTTGATTTTCTCCAGAAATTCTATAGCTGCTTTTGGATCTGAAACAAAGGAAACAAAGTTGACCTTTATCTCAGGATGTAAGTTGGAGGCCAAACCGATTCATAAACCAAGATGTTTGAAGTATTAAGCAGCAGTGTGCATGCAGTCATCTGTCACTAGGAAATATCTAACACTAGGAAATAGGCTAGTACAGACAGCGTATGTTTTGTTTTAATTGTTTGTTGTTTAACGTAGCAATATTCCAGCTATATGACGATGGTCGGTAAATAATTGAGCCTGGACCAGGCAATCGAGTGATTGATATGAGCATCGAACCACTTAATTGAGATATGATGACCATGTCAGCGAGTCTGACCACCTGATCCCATTAGTTGCCTCTTATGTCAAAGTTGCCTTTTGCGACAAGCATAGGTTGCTGAAGACCTTTTCTACCCTGGATCTTCACGGGTAGTACAGTGAGTGAGTGAGTGAGTGAGTGAGTGAGTGAGTGAGTGAGTGAGTGAGTGAGTGAGTCCGAGTTGGGTTGAATGCTGCTGAGAACTGCATGTCAGTTGTATCAAGGCGTATACTGTGTCTCAGCCCAAAGTGACGCAGGTCTCAGATGTTTACTACTGTTTGTTTATGCATACAATATAGTCTTGTTAGGGGAAATTCAATGATCTAGATATTGTCTAGTTCAGCCACATCTTTTTGACGACAGATGACTGTACATACATACAGTAAAGTGCCGTTAATCCGACATGGTTGGTTGCATATGATTATGTCGGATTAACGAGTGTGTCGGATAAACAAAATTAAGTAGTATCAACGTTTGTGTTTGAAAATCGGACAACTACACGATAGATAGAGATACCAACAATAATAAAAAATGAAATATTCATATTGTTATGTTACATTGTTAGCGGCATATGTTTTCTAATTAAGCAACCTCTAAAGCTTAACACAAAACAACTGTTACTGACTGTATGACGTATTCAAAATACTTTAAAAAGCATAGTCTGGAATAGAAGTCGCCAGTTTCAAACTGATACCGAAAGCTTAAGAAAGCTGCTTTCTTAGTGGCTAACGTTGACTTCCTGTAAGTCATTTCATTGGTCGGTCATAGTTCGCGACAGGTTGTTCTGACGTGACCTGCAATGTGATGTCCTCGGCGATAGTGAGAACTTGTATCTGATTTTAATGAGATTGGGGGCGGTCAGGTAGCCTAGTGGTTAAAGCGTTGTCTCGTCACGCCGAAGACCCGGGTTCGATTCCCGATATGGGTACAATGTGTGAAGCCCATTTCTGGTGTCCCCCACCGTGATATTGCTGGAATATTGCTAAAAGCGGCGTAAAACCATACTCACTCACTCACTCACTAATGAGATTGAAGTAACCTAAGCATGTGATTGATCCTGTTTTCTTTATTTAAAGCATTAATTGTTTAATGTTAAGCAAGCTTATCTCTGCAGCCATTGTAATATGCAGCTACCACCCGCTCGTCTCGCATCAAAACACAGACTCTGTACTCGCAGGAAGATGACCACGGAGTACGCTGATCACTGTGTCGGATAACTAGACTGATTAATGAGTGATTTCAGTAATTCGTTGCAAATTAGGTGTGTCGGAGACGGAGTGCGAGACTATCGGATTAACGGGTCTAAATAGCACTGATTTAATTGGTGCCCAGCATTTGTGTCGGATAAAGCCGATTGTTAGATTAATGAGTATCAGATTAACGAGACTTGACTGTATATATGATGAGTGAGTGAGTGTTGTTTAACACCTTAGTCAGCAACGCCACTGTAAATAATCAAGTATGGACCAGGCAAAACAGTTACTGACAGAATGAGCAGCGATCCATGGGGTACCTGACCTGTATCACCCGTCACCCAGTCTGTCCACCCAATCCTCAGTTTAGTTGTTTGGCAGGACAATCACGAGGTACCAGCAATCCCCACATCAGCATAAGTATGTGAGTGCCACATTTATACTAGTACATGTATGGGTGTTTTGGATAAAGACAGGGAGACAAGCAGCCCTAACAGCTGATAAATGTGCATACCTGTTATCTGGCGCACGATGAAGATAGAGATCTCCATGAGAGCCAAGGGGTTGATCCTGAAACAAAGAAGGCAGTGAAGCAGTGAGTGAGTGAGTGAGTGAGTGAGGAGACAGTCTATAGACCAGCAAGGTTCAGCAATATGTAAGCCATGTCAGTGATGGGGACCCCGTGTACAGGATACATGGACTGTATCCTGGCTTGACGCCTGGTCATAGATGGGACGGGCACCTACTTGAACCACTTGGCTATGTGACAGCCCTCTATGTACTATAATAAGGGCTACTTGTCATGCCAAGACTCAACAGTAATAGAATTAAGTACAACAGGGAATTTTCTTGCATATTTTTATTTTCTCAAAGTTGAAGAAATCGAGCAGTTTCTCTTTATTCAGTTACTTAATAAAAGTTCTACAACTTGTACAAATACATATGAACATTTCATCTGAAAGATGTATTTAATGAAATATTCTTACCTATGTTCAAAATCTGCAAGGAAGTTTTCGTACAGCTGAAAGTAAACCCAAGTGGTGGTTATTATGAATTATACAATATAGTGATGAGACAAAGTAATTCCTATGGCCATGTCATCATTTACATTACTCCACTGAACATGCTCAACATAGGACACTGTACATCATTACAAGCTAACACGTGTGGCAAGCAGACATTACAGAGTGTGTCATTATTGGCAATCGGTAGCCTTGTACAATATATTAGTACATACTTAGTTACAATACAGGGATTCATAATCACTTGGTGGAAATTCCACATTATTCTGATTACATCATAGTCTTGATGTGACGTCATGAGAGTATATTTCCGTTGATATTAATCATGGCCATGGTTCTTACTGGTGGTTGGTGAAGTTTTGTGTTCGCCTAGGAACAATGCTGCTGAACACAACAGCTGTGCTGCTCAATACTACAGCCAATTATACAGATCAGTAGACTTTACATCTTTTATCTACCCCTACCCAGGCACATATTCCACGGATAGTAGATTTCCAATGTCAACTAAACATACACAAATGGTCTCTAGCCTTGGTGTATTGTAGTGTTTAACAGACAACTTGACTTTATCTTCTATACAAGAGATCCAAAAGTAACTTTTAGAGTGTACTTTTCACAACAAAGATTGGAAAACTCCCCCAGTCGCTACAAGTCTATGTGACACTTCATTGTTCATCACTGTTCACTGAGGATGTTGTAGTCATTCAATGTGGTAAAGAATCAAAACAAAAACAAAAACACATATGACCTAGAAGCTTTTGTATGAGTATAACCTGCCTACCCGCAACAGTCCATCTCCTTTGGTGAAGACTGGATTCTTTACAAATTCCAAGAGTTCCAGAGTCAACTGATGCCACAGTCTGAAGAAGAAAAATATAATATACATGGCATGTATATGTAAATAATGTGAACTTCATTATCAATAAGGAAGAGAATGTATGGATGTCAACATCTTTATTATGAGGAATACACTTTTTCGGAGCATACACTTACTCCTCCATCAGGTGAATTAATGCCATGAGGCAGAGAGCATATATTCTGAAACGTTGTGTTCCTCATAATAAAGAAGTTGACATCCATATAATAATATGATAATATAGGTTAATCCAATCCTTGGTCATGGTTGTGATTAGTAAATCATTGAAGGTACACTAGAATATCAAATTTCCGGTGTAGCCTTTTCATGGTAATCCAGTTGTTCTGTGCACATGGTGTCGAAACACATTCGTCAGGTTCTTGAAACCTAAGTAACCTCTTCCTTGCTGGTCATAATACATTAGTTTTTATTTTCAAATATGGCATGCACACATCTCAGAATGTTGGATTCCTTGTGCCTTGGTCACCAGAGTGATTGGTGGATTGTTTGTTGCTTAATGCGACAGAGGAACTGTTATCGTCTTACATTAATTATCGTTCATCATCATGATCATCTTTCAAAGGGGCTCTTCCAAAGTTGGCCGAACTAGACCACATCACCACATCCTATTGTATGAAGTATGAACTCAAGCAGCCCAAACTCAATTAGGACCCCTCAATTATTAATCAGGGCACTAACTTGAAATTTAATGTGGTTTTGAGTTCCGAACTTCACACAATAAGATTTTCTTGTATACGTGAAAAGCCGGTGCTACGAAAATAATGACAAAACTTGGAACAACCTCGGGGTGTGTGTGAGATCTGGTCAACCAATCATTTGGACTTACTTTTTGTTATATAGTTCTTCAAGCGTTCCCCATTCTGTGGCGACATCGCCAGTGCTTTTACGCTGTTGTTCAGCTAAGAATGCTCCGACGTCCCTCGGCATGTTGATCAACTCGAAGCGTGAATAGCAGATTTTGGTTAAGAAGTATCTGATAGACAACTATTTCTGTATGCTAACAAGATGAAACAGTCTAAACAGTTTCTTGCTTACTCAAGTGATCTTAATATTAGTTAGTTTTCTAAACTTAAATTACATACAAATACACTATTTAGGAAACGAAAAACTAATAAAACTTTACTAGATTACATGTACATAATTCTTTCCAACACAATGAGTCGTTTAACAAATATTTGTGCTTATGCGTCTTCAGAGAAGAGCCTTAAAGGGAGGCCACTCTTTAAATGCCCCGAAAAGAAACACTTGTAAAAGCTTCATTTGTCAATCAATGGTTGTGTGCAGGTTGGGGCAGTTCAACGCGTTTTGCATATGTTATTTACACTCTAGCTTGCTTACAGATTTGTGACTATTTGGTTCCTCAAGGAAAGAAAATATTAACCGGGTTGGACAACAGCATGTATCAGAAGAAAACGACGAAATGAGTTTAAAGGTTAAAATTATATGACAGATGTTTATAGAATGTTGAAATTTCGTCGTTTTGTTAAGTTGAATGTAAATATGGAGACAAGCATGGATTTCAACTTGCTGATGATACGAAACTGTAATTTAATACGGGTTCAAGACAAAATAGCAAACATTAAGGGATAAAGTCTTTGATAGGCATTTAGAAATGGGAAGAACATGAATACATGAAACTTTTCAGGGATAGCAAATTCGTTTATTCTTCGTCAAGACGTTTCAGAGCTACTTCTTGCTCCCTCATCAGGTGAATGCTGAGTAAGTGCCTCACTTACTTACTTACTTTGGAGATTTAACGTGCGCTTTCCGACTGATGCGTATTTCGCACACGGGCCCGGCCAGGCCATTTAATGTGTTTCCGAAAGGGGCGGAAGTGGTCTGTGCAACCCAAGAGGGGGGTTTAGGGGTTGCTTATATAGAATTTGGGAATTTTGAGATTTGGAATAGATGCCGATGGGGTTGGGGAGGAGAACTAAGGGAGCTGGGTATGGTGGATGTTTGTTTGTTTATGTGATTTTGATTTGGTAGGTTATTGTGTTTTTAGATGCGTTTTATTAGTTCTGTTTTTATTAAGAATACGCCTAAGGCCTTGAAGTTTTCTAGTTTATTTTGTGGGTTAAGTATTGCTTCTAGAGTGAGAGCCTTGTTTAGATTGAGGGTGGTTTGTAATGCGGTTCGATGTGTTAGGTAGTGTGTGCAGTGGATGAGTGCGTGTTCTGGGGTTTCTGGTTGTTTGCAGTGTGGGCAGTTACCTGTAGTGTGTTTTTTAATTTTTTTTAGGTGGTTATTTAGGTTGGTGTGTCCTGTTTGGAGTTGAGTGATTACTCACTTGGTTAGTGGTTTGCTGAGCACTTTTTTTATTTGGCTATTTGAGTTTAGATATAGGTTATGCCATTTTTTGTGATTTTTTGCTTGTTTACACTTTTAATTTCTGATTTTGAGATGGGTAAGTTTAAGCTTATTTCTGGGATTTTGAGGGATAGTTTAGCTGCTTTATCGGCGTTTTCATTACCGTATATTCCTACGTGGGCGGGTATCCACAAGAAGGTTATTTGTTTGCCTGCCTTAGTTAGGTCGTTGGAGCTTTTAAGTATTTGATTTATTAATTTAGGTCGGTTTTGGTATTTTTGTTTTGGAGGGCTTGCAGTCCACTTAGGGAGTCGGTAAGTATTAGGATTTTTTTTGGTGGTTTTTGGATTCTTGATTATGGAGGGCTGAAGCCATGCCCATTAGTTCTGCCGTGAATATTGATTGGTTGTTTGGGAGTCGGAAGGATTGTGTGGTTTTAGTTGGTTGTGTGGTATGGACTCCGAAACCTGTGTGTTTGGAGGTCGGATCTGAGGATCCGTCCGTGTAAATGTGACACCAATTTGGCCAATTTTCGTGTATGTATGCTAGTGTGGTAGTTTTAGCTATGTTTGGGTCGGTTTGTTTATTTATTTGGCTAGCTAGTGTTGTGTCTATTTTGGGTATTTTAAGTTTAGGGGTGAAGATATTTGATTGTTTGCAGTTTTGTTTAAGATTTTTAATTTGGTGTAAGTGCCTAGACGTAATATATATTTATATAAATCATGATATTTTTACACGACACAAAGTGGGATTAATGTACAAAGATAACAATAAAATGACGAAGCCAATGAGATTAACAGGAGAGGATTAATTAAGTACACTGAAGGTGTAGTGATGACAAGGATCTGGCTATTGTGACACAAGCAATAAGGTAATCAAGGTGTCTATTGTGGTTGCTGATGTGTTTATAGAACAGTGGAGTACACACTGGGTAGGTAGATACCTTGGTCTCTGTTAATGACTGGTTTCTTTCTTTGGATTTCGATTCTTTCTTGAAGTTTCCTCTTTTTCCAATGACTGATGTTGGTATGGAGTCTTAGTTTGTGGCCAGGACATATTGTGGTCAGAATTTTTTATGAGATTTCATGTCAGATTTTTCTTTTTCCTTTTGTTCTTTTATTCTGGTGGCGATGGAGCGTTAAGTCTGTTCAATGTATTTGTGTCCACAGTTGCCACATCTCATTCACACGTTTTGAGGTGGACTGGGCGGGACCTTTACCATTGGCGTGTATCATTTTTATCAGTGTTCTGACGGAAGTTAAAGTCGCGTCTATGTTGGCTGTTTGGGTGAGCAGCCTCCTAATCTTGTGACTGGTAGGACCTTTGTATGGGATGCTGACGAGGATGTCTGGTGACGGGCAATTACGGCTTGTCTGATCTGAGGATTGTAGTAATGAATGTACTGGTCCGTGTGCGTGGGTTTGCGGTAGTCTTCCCTACATAGGAACAGCCAGCCACCAGATCCGCAGACTGCTCAAACACCACGCCAACATTGATACAGTATTCCAGAGAGGCAGGACAATCCAGAACATCCTCAGTGCCAACGGCAAGCCCCCTACATCAAAGAAAGAAGACCCAGCTGGTGTCGTATATCACATACAATGTGACTGTGGTGACTCCTATGTAGGAGAACCATCCAGGCCCCTACCCATTACAATAAAAGAACACAAGACCTCAGTACAAAAAAATGACTCAAAATCAGCCATCTCCGACCACACCCAAACCCACCCCGACCACAACATCCAGTGGAACAACATCAAGATCCTAGCCAACAATCAATCAGACTACAAAATCAGGAAACTCCTAGAAGCCATCTACATCAAAAGGATCCAGCCAGCAATGAACAGAGACCAAGGCTATTACATCCCGCCTGCTTACCATCACCTAATTGCTAAATCCCTATGTCCATCTAATTAATCCACTGGCTTCCATCATCTCTATCAGTCTGCTTGTTGACTCTGTGTTCATTTGTCATCCACTGGCTTCCAATTATCTTAATCAGCTCTCTGTGACCATCAATTATTTACTGTATAAACTTTGATGTTAATAAGTATATATACCTATGTTGTTTAGCACTATGTTGTTTAGCAACAATCAAACAATCAAATTTCAAAAACAAACCAAATTCTTAGGACTTATTTTCGATGAACATCTCACCTGGGATGCTCACATCCAAAACCTAACAACTAAATGCAGTAAAGACCTAAACACCCTAAGATGCCTAACTGGCTCTAACTGGGGAGCCTCCAAAGATACCCTCCTCTCTCTCTACATATCACTAATTAGATCAAAACTAGACTACGGCTGCGCCATATACAACACCCTAAACAACTCTCTATCTTAAAAACTTGACTCAATACAATATCAGGCTCTCAAACTAATTACACGCACCCAACATGGCACCTCCTACACCTCACTTCAGGCCTTAACAGGAGAAAAGCCACTAAGTCTACGCAGGGAACAGCTAAGCTTAAATTTCTGGGCCGCGTCCCAATCAAACCCTCTCATCCAAAACTTAATAAACCAAAACATCAGCCCAAAAAACCAAGCTCTAGCTCGTAAACACCCCTTACTTACCCCAATATCCCAAAGAATAACAAACTACCTAAATGAACACCAAATTAAAAATCTTAAACAAAACTGCAAACAATCAAATATCTTCACCCCTTAACTTAAAATACCCAAAATAGACACAACACTAGCTAGCCAAATAAATAAACAAACCGACCCAAACATAGCTAAAACTACCACACTAGCATACATACACGAAAATTGGCCAAATTGGTGTCACATTTACACGGACGGATCCTCAGATCCGACCTCCAAACACACAGGTTTCGGAGTCCATACCACACAACCAACTAAAACCACACAATCCTTCCGACTCCCAAACAACCAATCAATATTCACGGCAGAACTAATGGGCATGGCCTCAGCCCTCCATAATCAAGAATCCAAAAACCACAAAAAAATCCTAATACTTACCGACTCCCTAAGTGGACTGCAAGCCCTCCAAAACAAAAATACCAAAACCGACCTAAATTAATAAATCAAATACTTAAAAGCTCCAACGACCTAACTAAGGCAGGCAAACAAATAACCTTCTTGTGGATACCCGCCCACGTAGGAATATACGGTAATGAAAACGCCGATAAAGCAGCTAAACTATCCCTCAAAATCCCAGAAATAAGCTTAAACTTACCCATCTCAAAATCAGAAATTAAAAGTGTAAACAAGCAAAAAATCACAAAAAATGGCATAGCCTATATCTAAACTCAAATAGCCAAATAAAAAAAGTGCTCAGCAAACCACTAACCAAACCAAAAATTCTCCATCCATCCAAAAAAATCGACAGAGTAATCACTAAACTCCAAACAGGACACACCAACCTAAATAACCACCTAAAAAAATAAAAAAAACCACTACAGGTAACTGCCCACACTGCAAACAACCAGAAACCCCAGAACACGCACTCATCCACTGCACACACTACCTAACACATCGAACCGCATTACAAACCACCCTCAACCTAAACAAGGCTCTCACTCTAGAAGCAATACTAAACCCACAAAATAAACTAGAAAACTTCAAGGCCTTAGGCGTATTCTTAATAAAAACGGAACTAATAAAACGCATCTAAAACAAAATAACCTACCAAATCAAAATCACATAAACAAACAAACATCCACCATACCCAGCTCCCTTAGTTCTC